CAAATACTGTATAAAACCATTATTGTAGAATGAGTATGAGGATCAAAGAGGGGGTGATGGAAGCAGAGAGATGAGGATGAGTCGGGAGTAGGAGTTGATCATAAGTCATGTAATTTGATGGGTGGATGAGGGTGAAGGAAATGTAAAAGATCCAGTGAGAAAAACAATGTATCTGAACTTTGTAAATAAACCAGAATAAAATATTTTTTTAAAAAGGATATTTGTAAGGATAACTAATAAAACGTGTATGGGGACCTAAAGGGGGAAGGAGTGGGAGCAGAGGGGTGAGGGTAGGCAGAGGGGAAATCACAGGGTGGCACAATCTGGTACGGAAAGGGTGGAGGTAAAGGAAATGGGAAAGATCAGTGAGGACTTTAAAAGACAAACTGATGGTGGGTATGGTCCAATGGTGGGTAATTTTATGAAGCACAATGTAAGTTAAAGATTCTATGAAACATAATGTCAATGAAGGACAGTGTGATACACACACACACACACACAATGTTAAAAAAAAGTTCTTAAAAAAGTAAAGGATATTTGTCCTCATGGAAGAACACTGTCTATACAAGTGGTTGCTGTTACTGAGGGTTGCAACCGTAGACGCACTTTAAAGAGGTGCCAAGGTCCCTGCCTAACCCCTGAGGGTTTCCCAGAGGAGGTAAACAGTGAGGGAGGAGGTGAGATGGTGAGATGGGACAGGTGAAAATCAGGAACTCAGAGGACTGGAGCTGATTGGAGCAGGCTGCATGCCAGGCTCTGCCCTTCTTGTCATCCCTAGAGTCTCTTCCTCCACCAAAGGCTACTGGGCAGCTGTTTCAGAGAGAGGGTGAAGGCCCCTCCTTACACTCCACAGCTAGGCAAGGCTCCTCTTTCTGAAGCAGTTGCAGTTAGAGGGGTGGTTGAGATCAGAGGGCAAGAGCATTTCCTTTGATCATTAGCCCCCCACAACACAGCCTGCCATCCCTGCCCCCAAACACCAGGGCTAGGGCCTGAGGTAGGCAGAGCCAAGGCCTTGTGGCAGGACAGAGAGGGGCAAGAAAGGAGGAGTCGTAAAAACAGCAAACACTTTCATAGCACCTATTACGGGCTAGGTTCTCTTTGAAAAACTTTACACATGGGCCTTCTTTATACCTCGTAACAACTCTGTGCTAGTATCTGTGTTTTTCAGGGGAGGATACTAAAGCACAGAGACACTGTGTGACTTGCCCAAGGTCATACACCTGCTAAGTGGCTGAACATGGCAGGCTGCCTCCGAGTCCTGGCATCACAGCCTTGGGGAGAAGAGGGTGGAGCCAGCCCCTCCCCCCCAGCTAAGTGGCCTGAAGATTCTGGTTCCAAGGGCTGGAGCAGGGATAGGGCTCTGTGGAAGTGGCCTGGCCCTCTGGGGCTTTGCCCTGCACCTCCAGGTCATTTCTTATTCTCTGTGCCCTCCACACAGGCATCTTGGGTCTCTGCAAGGGGGCTGCTCAGTTCTGAGTCTCCTTGTCTTCTCTTCCCCCTGCCCCCTCACCAGGCTCCTCCTGCAGCCTCAGCCCTATGCCCTGGGCCCTGTCTTGTCTCTCTCTCCCCTGGCTCCACATTTCTTTCCTTTCTACCAGCCCACAGCCAAAGCTGCCCAAATTTTCCATCTTAGCACTGAAGTCTGTCAGAACTGGGTATGGGTGAGGGACAGAGAGAGACAGTCTGGATGAGGACTGGTGGGGGGAGCGGTGGAGTCACCTCATTCCCCCTGTAGGGGGTTGGATGACTGACTCAGCCTGGCAGGAGGCTGGACGTCAGAATTCCCAGGTCCTGGCTCCTCTGGGAACCGTCCCCATCGCCAACACAGAGCGGCCCGGCCAAGGCCATTTTAGGAATTTGGCAAGATAGCCTCTCTCCAGCTGGTGCTTAGAAAGCCCAGAGTCTGGAATTCTCCCTGATACATCTCTCCGGCCTGGGGAAGGAGGGGACACAAGACAGGACATCCTTCACCTGGCAGTTCCAGCGCTCTGCCCACCTCATTCCTGGAAACTTGAACAGATGCTCTGCTCTCCTGTCAGGAATCCGGGAAGCGGTCCCTGAGGGAGCAGAGCAGGAAGGAAACAGAAGTGGGTTACAAAGTCCGAGGAGGCCTGAGGAAGCCCTGACTCCGGGGGTCTTGAAGGTGCTATCTAGTGTTGGGAGTCCACAGGGAGCCCCTCTGACTTCTCCAATAATAATTCTTTCTCCCCAGAGGAGGTACAGAAAGCGGCCTTCCGAGACAGGCAAGTAGCTCGAAGGTATATTTCGTCAAGGCCATATGTCTCTGAGGTACACTCATCCCCTTGCTGGGCCTCAGTCTTCCAACTGAGACAGCCTTTCCTGAAAAGGAGCTTAGTCCAGATCTGGGGATCTGGTTGTCTTCTCCCCAACAGCCTTAGATTGCTGCCCTGATCCCAGCCCCCCAGGGGGTGCTCAGGGCCCCATCCTATCGATCCCCCTGCAAGCATCCATCTCAGCTGGTGCTCAGCCCCTCTTGGGGAGGGGTCGCTAATGGACTTGGCACAGCCAGGAGGTAATTAACAGGGAGGGGAAAGGGACAGCAGCGAGGTGGAGGGGGCACTGTTAATGACAATAGAATCCAACAGCTATGAGTGATTGAGGGTGGAGAGTGTGTGTGTGTGTGTGTGTGTGTGTGTGTGTGTGTGTGTGTGTACATGCGATGGCTGTGAACAAGGCCAGGGTGCCCACCCATGAGCACATCTACAGGCCCACCAGTGAAGGGAGGTCATGGGAGGGGTTTCAGGCCATGAGGTTGACAATGTGGTGTGAGCCCCGCCCAGCCCACAGCGCACACCCTGGGCCCAGATTGTCCACAGGAGCAAGAACGATGGGCTTCAGCTCCTGTTCCCAGATGGATGAAATGTTCTCACTCTTGTTCCCAAGCCTTGTTCCCAGAACCCCCGACCTTTAGAGCCAACCAGCCCACCTGTTTTAGCAAAGCCTCCTGCTAGGGCTGTAAGGGCTGCTGATGCCCTGGTGCTTGTGGCCCTGGAAACACTCCATGTACCCTGTAGGTCCCTCCGGCTGAACCTCCACACCTCAGTACCAGAACCCAAATCCATGCCTTTAGGTTGATTCCACCTCCGAGCAACCCTGCAGGACAGAGTGGAACGGGCTCCTAGTGTTTCCAAGGCTGTAATCTTTACAGACACAGGCTGCCTTTCTTTATCAGGCAGAGTGAGTGGCTGGGGGATCTGAACCCTCAACCTTCCTATTAGCAGCCCAGTGCTAAATCCCTGTGTAACCAGGGCTCCTTGTTGCTTCAATGAAGGCCCTAAACCCTACTCAGTAGGGTGAGCCTGACTTTCTTATGCCTCTGTCCCACAGCCTCCAAGCTTGGAAGTGCCCTACCCCATCTAGCCCTTCAAGAGTGGCCTGGGAGGCAGCAGTGAGAAAGTGGAGGGGCTGTGGGTGAAATAGAAAGCCCTGCAGTCCATGCTGGTCTCCAAGACATTTTCTGATCCCACTGCTTGTCTGCCCTGTCTCTCCGTCTGTGTGCACCTCTTCCTCTGTCTGCATGTCCCCTCAGTCTCTGTGTCGCTCTCTGCAATCTCTCTCCACGTCTCCAAACCTGCAGTTTCCTGTTTCTGCCTCTTCCTGTTTCTGAGCATCTGTCCCAGATCACCTGTTGAATCTGATCTCTCTCCCCCACCATGTAGCCCCCCTCTTCTCCCCTTCACTCTATGTACCTTAGGTGCCCTCCATCACTGGGGTGGTGCAGCCACATCCAATGCAGGGTCGGAGAAGAGGGCCCCTGAACTTGGCCTTCAGGGATCAGACTTCCCTCCATCAATCAGCCTGCAGCCCTGGGTCAGACCTCCATTAGCATTAAGCAGCCTGGACAAGAGGCAGACGCCACCGGGCTAAGCCTAGGGGTGATAAGACCCAGATTGAATCACCGGGTGGGGAGGGCTGGGCACACAGGGACATCAGACAGCCACTAGATTAGCCCTGGGGAGCCATGGATTATTGCAGGACTGGACAGGTGATTGGAAGTGATGGCACTGGGGGTGGGGTGCCGCACAGGAGTGCGAGGGGGGAAGGGGAAGCCACACCTCCCTGGCTCTGGGGTACAGCACAGGCTCTTGGACTGGCAGACAAGGGCAGGGTCTAGATCCATGACATGATGGAAATGGAGGGACCTCATCTGGCCATGGTGGTGATTGAAGCAGCAGGCCAGTGGTCTTGTGAGAGGCAGAGGTCAAGGGTGGCCCCACACCCTTTCTGGGGCACGATGGGACGGGGAAATGCTTGGGTCCTTAAGGAGCCTCCTTACCAGGTACCTGGCTCCTGGTTTGCTTTTTTTTTTGCATTGCATCAAGTCCAGGTCAGCTCCTAGCTGACTATCTTTTGGGTTTCTGAGGCTGTAATTCACACAGGAGGACACTGGCCATCCTTCTCCCTCAGGATGGTTGGTGGGTATAAACCACCAGAGTGATGCCCCTTTGGGTTAGCAGAACTCCCTACGGACTGTGCTCCCAGCGTTCTTTGGCCCCTGTTTAGAATACTTGATAACATCTGAGGGGAAGGAATTGGGATCCTGTCTCCCTCACCAAGCCTCAATTCTGCTCCTTTCCTTTCCCTGCCATATACATATGCAATCCATTTGTTCTACTCCGTGCTTGCTCTGTCCAGACACAGCCCACCAATGTTTCCAGCTCGTCCACAAGACAGCTAACTTCCTTTCCTCCAACTGTGGCACTAACCTTCCAGAATATGAAGTTCAAACAGAGAGAGGTAGTTATGGTCTTAAGATCTGGGAAGCTTGTCCTGGGATTGCGCCATCCCCTCACTCCCAGGTGGATGAGGTACCCACAGGACTGACATCTAACCACAGCCACAGTGTAGCAATGTGGATGACAGCTCCATGGAGTTGGGGTGTGCAGTGAGGGGAACCAGAGACAAGGTCAGCCTCCCACCTGAGTCCCAGTCCCCCCTTCTTGAATGACATCACCTTAAGAACTGGCAAGACACACAGTAAGGGATAATAAATATAATTGCTATGACGGAACCCTGACTTAGAGAAGCAGGAACATCCTCTAGTCTCAGCTCCCACCAGACCCCTCCCACATGCTGAGGGTGAGTTAGATGCTTGGTGATCACTCAGGGGTGCTGGGAGCTGCTAGGGTAGGCTCCAGCATTCTGGCTCGCCAAACCCAGTCCCTGGGCAGGCTCCTAACCCAGGACATCCAGATAGACAGGGGGAGCCTGGGCCAGTGCTTGCAGCCGGGCATGCACATCCTTGATGCTGTGGCGATGCTGAGGCTCCCGCTGCCAGCAGCCCCGCATAATGGCGTAGACTTCGGGTGGGCAGGCGCGGGGCCGCTCCAGCTCATGGCCTTGCGTGATGCACTCAATCGCCTGGGGATGTGAACCGCAGGAAAGACAGGGAAGAGAGCATAGAGATGAGACTGGAGCAGGAGCGTGGGGCCAGCCCCTGAGGAGCCCTTCCTGGATGAGGCTCCCAGAGCAGGTCTGGGCTTCTCCTCTGCCAACGATCTAAGTGGTCACAGTGACTCTCAAAATTCCTTCCCGCTCTTAGCAATGAGCAGCAGGAAGAACTAGAGCTAGACTCTGAGGAGTTGGGCGTGCTTCCTGAGGGGCTGGAGTCAGACCCTGAGAAGACCTGCCAAGAAGAGAAAGGCCCCAACCTATGCGCTTCGTGGTGGAGGCTAAAAGAAGAAAAGGAAAGGAAAGAGAAAACAGCGCAGGACTGCTATTGAAGGCCTTGAAAAATGACTGGCTCCCTTTTTTAGTAGAGGGCAGCCTCTACCTCCTTCTATCAACTGCGGGTGTCACTATGTGGGGACCTGGTATCTCCAGAAAGAGAAACTGTAGTAGGAAATACCAAAGTTAGACTCTAGGAGGAACTGCTAGAGCAGGTAAGGAACCCAAAGAGGAAGGAGGGATCGTTGGAAAAGGAGCCTAAAGATTCTTCTTCTGTCGTCGTCCACCCCCCCCCATTAAAGGACTTGGGCATGGGCGGCACTAATTTCATTCTTTCTCTCAGTGCTTGAGAAAATTAAAATCTATAACCCTCTCCCCCACCCCACGGCCTCCAGGGAGCAGACTGCATTAGGAGGAGAAATGGAAACTGACAGCTGCGAGCCAAGGAGCGGGCGGGGGAGCCGCTCCTGCTCCGGGAGACACAACACCTGGGGCCTGCTCTGTGTCCAGCCGGGAGAGCCCGCGGAGGGGGCGAGGGCGCGGCCGAAGCGCCAGCCTTCTGCTGCCTCCTCGGCCCCTCTTGCGCTGCACTTTTCTTCCCATATCTCTCCCTTCCACGCTGACAATGCCTCCCAGGGCTATAAAACCAGCTGAGGAAGAGGGGCCTGGACTCCACCTATCAAATACTTAGAGATGCCCCTAGGAGCCAGTGGGATCTGGGCTTAGAAACCGTAAAACGGTGGCGAGAGGCGAAGAGAAAAATTAGACTGGAGCAGAGAGAGCACAGCACTGACTTGGAGGAGCAGAATGCTGGGGTGGGTGCCCCTGGAGGCAGCACGATGAATGGCAGAAGGGAATCTAAGGATCGGAGCTTTCTGGGGAAAGGACCAGAAGCGGTGGGGGCGTGGCCGGCGGGGCTGACCTCGGTGTTGGAGAGCTGGTACCAGGGCTGCTTGCCGTAGGTGAATATTTCCCAGAGCACCACGCCGAAGCTCCACACGTCGCTCTCGGTGGTGAATTTGCGGTAGAGGATGCTCTCGGGCGGCATCCAGCGGATGGGCAGCATGGTTCGGCCTCCCACCTGCGGGAGGGCGCCGTCACCTACAGGAGGCGCCCGCGAGAGCCAGCCTCCCGGCGCAGACCCCGCCCCCGCCCTCATGAAATATAAATGCACAGGGGTTTGGGGCCAGAACTAAGAGGGAAAAACCGATGGTGCCGTTTCCGTCCCGCAAAGCGGAGACAGACCCTCTACCACCAGGGATGCTCGAGGTGGGGGCGGCATGAAAAAGAAGAGCCAGAGAGTCTCAGATCCCATACTGCCTGAGGATGAGGAGGGCGTGCCCACTATGGGGCTGGGGGTGGACCTCTGGCCCCAGGGTGTCTACAGTTGAGACTCTTGAGGGAAGGGTGGAGACGAAAGACCCTTACGCGGTAATAGTCTGTGCTGTAGATATCCCTGCTCATGCCAAAATCGCCGATCTTGACCACTAGCCCTTGACCCACCAGACAGTTGCGTGTGGCCAGGTCCCGATGCACAAAGTGCAGGCCTGCCAGGTACACCATCCCTGCAGCGACCTGGCTTGCCACAGCCAGCAGCTGCCCCAGGCCTAGGGGGCCTGGAGCCACGTCCTCCCTGCCAGCCAGCAGCTTGGCATCAGGTCCGTGGGACCTGCAAAGGAGGTGGGAAGAAGGCGCTTAAGGAAGGGACTTTGGGGAGACCTGGAGTGAAGTGGTGTGAGGGAGCTGAGGGCTGGCAGTGAGGAAGGAGGTGCCCACATTTCCAGGGCTTCCAACAGAGTCCACAATTGTCACATCGATGCCCTTCTCTGAGGCAGTGCCCTGAACTCAAACCCTAGCACCCAGCTACCTAATTGGCCCCTACAATCTCTAACTAATGGACATCTCAGACATAGCCTTCCTTAAGCTGAGTTTGGCATTTTCTGAAGGTCAAGCTTGCCCTGCCTCAGTAGCTTGCCCTTTTCTATTTAGGCTCTGAGCCTGGGAGTCCTGTTTCCTTCACTTTTACCCTCAATTTGCACCCATACCTGTAGGACTTGCCTTTCCAAGATGCCCTCTGCATCACAGCCACTATTTGAGGTCTATCTCTGATGATTTCTCTCATCCCCAAGTAGTCCTTCTGAACTTTATCTGAATTTACTGGCCAGTTGTGTGGGTGGTGGTTGTTGATTGCCTTCAAGTAGAGCAGACTCATAGTGGTGGGTCTATTATTCAAAATGTCTTTCCTAGGCCTTTGACTTTACCACATTGCTGGGTGGGAACATGCAAATAGGGTGTGTAGGAAGCAGAAGTGGCATCCACTTCCTAAACAACATGCCTGTGGAAACTCTATGAACTTTGATAAATGTTAATAGTTATAGAAAGGCTTCAGGCCTTTTGTTCATAGGGTCGCTATGAGTCGCGCTCTACTCGAAGGCAATCAACAACAACAGTCTTTCCATCAGGGGATTGGCTAATTTGACCATTTCACCAGATTTTTTTTTCCTGGTTGTGTACCATCTAGTTGGATCCGACTGGCACAGGAGGAGATTGCCCCTTCTTCTCCAGCAGAGCATCTGATAGATTCTAACCGCACACCTTTGGGATTTCAGCAAAACTCCTTGCCAGTAGGTTACCAGAGCTCCCTTTCCATCAGATTTAAATTGAGTAGGTTCGGTGAAGGAAATTGAGAATTTCACTACCAACAAGTAAGATCGGGCAAAGAATTTAGTGTGCCCTTTAGAGTAAGAGATTCCTGCAACAGTCATATGGTCCCTATGCACAAGAACCAACAGCCGCAGCAGAGAACCAGAGATCACAAAGACAGAGCTGACCTTGAACTGCTGCCCCACAGAACCAGAGCCATGGGTCTTCACCCAAACTTGCTGAAGGACTTGAATGGAGGGAGGGAGATGCCATAATTGCCAGGACTTAGCTAGCACTTGGCTAAAGTTTCAAAGCTGAAGGCTGAAAAGCCTGCAAACATACTTTAGAAGCTGCCTGGCTGAGAAATTACACCCTGTCGCCAACCTGAATTGTAACCTTTTTAACTCCCCTAATAAAGCTCATAATGGTGAATATGTCTTTTGAGGTCTGTGGAGCTGTTGCAATGGATTCTAGATCCTGTTGGAATTAGTAGAAGAAGGAGCAGGAGAGTGGGGAGCCTCATGAGAAGTGGGCTTGTGTTGTGGATGTTCTTGATGGGGGCAGTTTCCTTTGTGGAGCTAGGAGAGGTCAGGCATGACCATCCCCATGGTGCCTACACTCTTTGTACAGTTCATATGCAAAGTTACCCCTTCTGGAGGTCAAATACACCCATCCCCATGATATCTTCGTTCTTTTTGTACCAACAATCAGCAATGGCCTTTCTCATTGGCCAACGTGTTCTCAGCTATTTACTAGCAGTGGGCCAAAGGATAGATCACTCCACCTCTCTAAGACTCTTCTGTGAAATGAGCACACTTGTTGAAGTTAATTAATGTCCAAAAAGAAACATTCAGAGTTATTCTGCACAAAAGAAACAAATTCTTAACACCAAATTTAGTAACAGTTTAGTCTAAGAATAAATTGCTATATATACTTGAAGACTTGTTGTTGTCGTTAGGTGCCCTTGAGTCAAGTCTAACTCATAATGGCCCTATGAACAACAGGTGTGAACCCTGTCCTGTCCTGTGCCATCCTTATCATCTCTGACACACTTGAGCCCACTGCTGTGGTCACTGTGTCGATTCATCCTACACAAGATGTCAATCCAAAAGTCTTACTCTTTTTTTGCTGACCCTTACCTTTACCATGCATGATGTCCTGCTCCAAGAAATCCCCTCTCTTAGAAACATGCCCAAAGTACTAGGGACAAAAATTCACCATCCTTGCCTCAAAGGAGCACTTTGACTGCACCTTCTCCAAGACATATCTATTTGTTCTTTTGGCAATCCATGGGTTATTCAGTACTCCTCCAACTCCACACATCAAAGACATCAATTCTTTTTTCTGTCACCATCCTCATTCTTTGTCTGAAAGTACCATGGTTGGAATCAGGCACACCTCAGTCCTTAAAGTAATATCATTGCTCCTTAGATTTGGAAAAGTCCTGACTGCTGACTTTCCTGGTGTAATACATCTCCTGATCTACTGGGTGCTGGTACCAAGGAAGAAGGAATTGTTGATTATTTCAATCTTTTCTCCATCTATCATGATGTTGCTTATTGGTCCTGTAGTGAGTTTTTGTTTCCTTGATGCTGAGATGCAATCCATATTGAAGGCTGTAGTCTTTGATCTTCTGCAGCAAGTATTTTAAGCCTTCAACTTTTAGCAAGCAAGGTTATCTGCATAACATAGGTTGTTGGTGAAATCTTCCTCTGATCCTAATGCCACATTCTTCTTCATAGAGCTCACTTTCTCAAATGATTAGTTAAGCATATAGATTGAATAGGTATGCAGAAAGGATACAACCCTGATGCACACTTTTCCTAATTTTAAACCACACAGTGTTCTGCATGCTACACACCAGTAAATACAAGCTCTGCAAAGCCCACCCATCTAAAGTGTCGACTCCTGGTCTCTGCTGATGCAGTCTCTCTGGCTGCTGTCACTCTGTCCTTTGCCCTGCCTTACAAGCACATATCTTCTCCTTCACCACTTTGCAGCTCCCTGGGCTCCAGAACTGTGCCTGCCTGATTCTTCTCAATCTCCCCACTTGATGTGTAACCCAGCATTGAACAAGGACCAAGCAATTTCCAGGAACAACCAACAAAATGGGGCTGTGCTTGTGGGGCAGGGGTGATGGGACTCACACCCAGGGCCCAGGACAGCAGCCAGGAGCTCCTACCGGAGGAAGCGGTTGAGGTCACCATGCCGCATGTATTCAAAGACCATGAGCAGCGGGCGGCCCTCGGTGCAGACTCCAAAGAAGCGGACGATGTGCTGGTGCTGCAGCATGGTGAGCAGCTCGGCCTCACGCTGGAAGTCCTGCCGCGCACTCTCCGACACCTCCTTCAGTGCCTGGATTGCAGGGGCAGGAGTGGGTGAGCACCCAATCCCCAGCCACGAGCTACACCAGACCCCAGCACCCCAGCCCTAGGCCTAGGCACCCTGTCCTGATACATCAGTTCTTCTGGAGGCACGGCCCAGACTGGTAGTACCTGGCGGCCAGGGTCTCACCTTGACGGCCACTAGCATCTTGTCTTGCTCAGGCAGCAGGTTGTGGCATTCAGCAAGGAAGACCTTCCCAAAGGCACCCTCACCCAGCTCCCACTTGAGCACGATGTCTCGGCGCTTGATGTGATGGACACCTGGCAAACGGGTGCTAGGATCAACGGGAGCCTCACTCGGTGTGGGGAGCAATGGGGCAGGGACATGGGCAGGAGTGTCTGGTAGTGTCTGCACACTGGCATCTAGCTAAGAGAGTGGATGGGAACGGAATTCTGCCACCACGCCCTATGCCCTGGTGGAGGCTGCATCTGCCCGGACTAGACACAGCTCAGATGTAAAGCTAACCTGAGCCCGAGGGCGATGGAGGTGACAGGAGAGGAAGAGGGGAAGGAAAGTTATTGTTCAAACCCAGGGTAAGAATGAATGTGTGTGCAGGCGCGTGCATGAGAGCGAGCGCGCACACACACACACACACACACACACACACGCGCATGGCTCACCCCACCCTTGACCCAGCACAGCCCCTCACAGGCATCACTGAAGTACTGCGGGTTCTCGATGATGTGGCCTTGAAGCCCGGAGCCTTTGCCCTCAGTGGGGGACAGGGAGCTGCCACCCAACGTCATGAAATGCAGGGACATGGCCAGCCCATCTTCTGGAGCCAGCATGGCCGGGCCTGAGGAGAAGACACGGCCGGGTTCAGGGCCACAGCCCACGCACACGCCCTGCTCACGCCAGCAAGGCGATGCCTGCCTCAGCTCAGGGGGAAGAACAGAGGAGCCGGAGTAAGACAGCAGCTACGGAGAAGGGGGGCACTATGACCTCCCTCTGGCTGGCTCTTGTCCAACCCCAGGCCCCATGGGCACCAAAGAACTCCCCCACTGCCCCCCTCCCCTGCAGAATCCAGACCTCCCAGACCCACTTAGTGTTTGACTACAATCCAGCCACCAATTAGTAGCTGCTGCCTCTGAAACTGCCCCCGGCACAGCCTGACACACACTCACGAGTCGCGCAGCCCAGCCCCACATAGACCCCAGATACGCTCCCACAGCCCAGAGCCCCTTCCCACCCTAAAAGAGAAGACAGAGTCAGGAAGAGCCAGCAAGGAACAAAGCCAGGGAAAGACAGACAGACAGCCCCTCTGCAGCCTCCCAACTCACGGTTGATCCCAAACTTGTTTCTCCGTCCACATTTGTTGAGCACGAGGAGCAGCGTAGAAAGGAAGAGGCAGGCAAAGACAGCCAGGCCCACGGCCACTGAGACCTGGGGGAGGGGGTGATTAGATCCTGGGGCACTCTCAAGAGCTCCCTCTAGGAAACCATCTTCATTCCACTCAGGAGCCCAACAGACCTGGCCCCTGCCCTGGGGACCCGGCTGGGGCTGTGAGTGTGGTGGGCAGCTCAGGCTCTGTGGATGGAGCCCTGCACGCTCCAACCAGAAGCACAAGAGGCAAGTCTGTAGCCTGCAGTCAGGCCTCCCACATCCCAAGTCCCACCCAGGCTTCCACTTCCCAAACTCACCCCAAAAGGTGTTTCATCCTTCTTCTCCACAGGGTCTCTCGATGTGCTGTTAGTGTCTATGGGACAAAGGCCAGAAGAGTGGGCTCCCCAGCAACTCTCCTGCCCTCGCCAGCTCACCCTCAGAGGTCAGGTCAGAGGTACCCGCTGCCCCAGCCTCAGCCCCAGAGATCACACAGAACCACCCTCCAGCCAGAGACACTCACCCACTGGCGAGAAGGAGACTGAAGCAGGAAGGAGGAGAGAAAGCAGTCAGATGCAGGAGGGGAGCACACGGTCCCTTGCCCCAGGGATCTGTCCCTACGTGGGATGGGGTGGGGTGGGGAGGTGGGGAGCTCTGGACCTCAAGGAAGAAGATAAATGGCCTCTTTTCCAGCTGGGATCTGGATGCCCCAGAGCGGGGCTCTCTCTTCAGTCACCCCAAGTGAAGGGAGTAGCTCAGAGCTTGTGGGAGGGTCAAGAAGACCAGCACAGAGCTGCACATCAAAATCTGGCTCCTTTAGACACCTGAACCCTATGGTCCTTCAGGTCCAGGACCAGGCACCCCAATTTCTTGAGTCAAAGGAACAATGGGAAGTAGGCCAAGCCCCCCTGGACATCTGGACCTGTCCCCCCCATAGAGGCTAGGGAGTAGGGGCAGGGCTGAGGGAGGTCCTCGCACCAGGGATGGGATCCTCGGGGTTGAACTCGAATGGGTTGTCCATGAAGGCAGCTAACATGGAGGCAGCCGCCCTGCCAGAGGGGTTCACGGCCAGCAGTGTGTAGTTGCCATTGTTGACGTGGGTGGGCTGGTTGAGGCGCAGACAGCCGTGGCGCATGGTCTCATTGGCCACTGGCTCTAGGAACTCGGTGAAGATGAAGCTGGTCTCATTGAGCACCGAACCGTTGAAGAGCCAGCGCAGAGAGGGTGCTGGCTGCCCGTCCACTGAGAAGGGGATGCACCAGTGGTGCAGCTCCACCGCCTTGTGCAGCTGCACGCTGGGGGGGACTGTGGACCAGAGACCACAGGGAATCAGGGGCAGCCGAGGCACCAGGCCAGGGTCAGCAGTGAGGAAGAAATCAGGGAGAAATGGGTCAGCAGGCCCTAAGACTTGTGCAAGGAGAGGTGTTTGGAAGAAAGGTGACAGTACCTCTTAAATATACCATGCAGGAGGTCTAGAAAATTCTTTTTTAGGCTTAAAGGCAGCAGGCCTCAAATAAATAGTGTAACAGGCTAGAGAGATGGGACACAAATTATGTAAATTAAACACTGAGCCTTTTAGAGAGGACTCTAGAAAAAGTAAGTGTAATCAAGTCAAGAAGATAGAGTAAGGGACTTAAAAGTCAAATACGATGTGAGGGGGAACCTTTCTGAATAATTTTTGAATGGTTACCAGGGATGGGAAGGGAGGGAGAGAGGAGCAAAAATTGATAAGTAGATAACAGACACATTAAATGGATGAAGGGAAGACAGGAGATGATCAGATATGAATATTGTAATTAACATAAAATAAAATGTTTATGAATTATTGAATGATAAACCAATATATTTTGTAAACTTTCACTCAAATCAGATTTTAAAAAGGAAAACAAGCAAGTAAACAAAATCCCTTAAAAAATAAAGTTACAGAGTTTAAATAGGCCCAACCTGGGGAAAACAACAACAAAATCCCCTCAATAATAGAAGGGAAATGTACATATGTATAGACACCTATACTATACAGGAATTCCATGCAGTATTCATATAATGTATAGAATATATAATGCATGTTATAATTATATTATTCATGTATTACAAGAACATAATCATATGGCAGGCCTCTGGGGATCTAGTTGGAAAGGAGTTGCACTATCAACACAAAGGCAGGAGGTTCAAATCTACCAACAGCTCCAAGAAGGTAATAAGTCTCTTCCTGCGCAATTTACAGCCTCTGAAAACTCGGTAGAAGGTCACTTATGAGTTGGTTTCAATTTGATGGCAACGAGTTGGAGGGTTTTTTAATTCATATAATGGAATATTACTCAGTAGCAAATTGAATTAGCTACAGCGGTAAAGCTCTGATAGCCTTGTGGTAAGAAGCTGCTCTGCAATCACAAAGATACATGGTTTGAATCCACCAGCTGCTCCATGGGAGAAGGGTGGGGAATCTCTTCCTCTACGATTTACTGCCTCTGAAAACCCTCTAGAGGGTCAGCTATGGGTCGGTTGCTACTCAATGACACACAACAACAATAATAATCATAACCAGACACCCTGAGAGAGGGAGTTGCTAGTCCTAGGCCTCAGTCTTGGGGACATAAAAAGAAAAAACAGAAAAAAAACGTAAGCCATAGTGATAAAAAGCAAACCCATCCCACTGCCACCAAGTCAAGTCCAACTCCTTAAAAAACTCATAGTGGTGGCGAGGTCTGGTGGCCTAGTGGCAAGAAGCTGCACTGCAATCCCAGAGGTGAGCTGTCTGAATCCACCAGATTCTCTGCTGGAGAAGGAGGGACAATCTCCTCCTGTACCAGTCAGATCTGATTTGACGGTACACACAAAATAATAATAATAAAAAATTTAAATAAATTAAAAAAAACAAAACTCATAGCGGTAGGGTTGTGTTTAAAGCATTATGTGTAGAAATCTTTTTAAAAGTAAGGGGGGGGCAATAAGATTTTTTAGAAAATGTTTTTAGTTGACAGACCTAGAGAAATTAAGGGAACTCTGGTGGCCTAGTGGACAAGAAATTGTGTTCCCAACCCAAAGGCGGGCAGTTCAAATCCACGAACTATTCCAAGGGAGAAGAATGAGCTGTCACCTCCTGTGTGATTTATAATCTCTGAAAAACAGCGGAAGGGTCAACTATGAGTCAATTCCAACTCAAAGGCAATGAAGGGTTTTTGAGAGAAATTAGGCCTTACAGCTAGAGAAAAACTCAGGAGAATTTTCTTTCTAAAACCTAGGATGCAAGACAAAGGCCTAAGGAGAGGTCAGTTAGGAAGAAGTAATTTGGAGAATAAAAATGGCTGGGAAGCTGGTGTTCAGGGCCTCAGGTAGCAAGGCTTGGGCAGGGCGCCAGAAAGAAATCTATCTCCATCCCTCTGGCCTTGACAAGCCCCCAGGACGTCCCCCAAAGGATCAAGTTTTCATGGGAATCTGGAAACAGCTGGGAGGGAGCAGCTGTGAGCTGTGAAGACGTATATCCCTCCCCTTTCCTCCAGCCCCCTACTCTCACATCCTTTTTTCAGGGAATCAGGGTTGTAGGGGGTGAGTGGGCGCTGGGGTAGTTCAGAGACTCACAGGAGACATTGACCTGGACAGAGACCTCGGCTCGGCCCACATCATTCTCCGCCCAGCACGTCAAGTTCTTCCTGTTGAGGTCACTGGTGACATTGGTCAGGGTAAGCTCCAGAAACTGCAGATCCTCAGATTTCTGGGTCAGGGAAGAGAGGAAAAAAAAATCAGGAAGAGTTTCAGCCTGCTTGAAACAGGGGCTTTCAGGGGCTTTCAGGGGGCTGGAGCAGATGTCTTTGAGGAGCCCTTCTGGCTCTAGATAGAAAGGAGAGGAGGAGGAGAAGGGAAGAAAAGGGAGAAATGTATGCAGGAGAAAATAGAGCAGAGAATGGCTCTTGTCCCTTGGAGTTCATTCAGAGTAGGGTAGATGAACCCCTGGATCATTTCTTTAATGACCTAAAAACTCTACAATATAACCAGTAACCTCTAAAATGGGCATGAAATACCTCAAAACCACCCATCTGAGTGACTAAGCAGATGTCATAAATCCTAAACACAAATTCACACACAGTCCATCGGAAAATCAACCAGCACCCTACCACTTAATTATTCTTACTTATACACAGCTCTAACACGCTTAGTTTCAACCCAAAGAAGATCAGAATCAAAAAGATGGCTTGATACAGGGCAGCAGTCAGAAGCAGCAGCTCTTTCTTTTTGCACATGACGGTGTGTGAGGTTAGAAGGGTGAACTGATTGGATTCTAAATTATCATCAAGAGATTGGATCAGGTTCAGGATTGTCAAAGTCATGGACACGGGTAACAGTCTTATGGCCTAAGAAACATCTTAATCTTGATGAGTCTTCCCCCACCCCCACCCCGAGGAGGTGGAGATTTTAGAAAGCTGTTTTTATAAAATGATGAAAAATAAATGAAGCGCTACACAGCTCTCATCTCTCTGGAAACTTCACAAAAGTGGAATTCCTTTAACAAATGTCAGCGGAGGTGAGGCTTCCGTGGCGGAAGTCGGAATACATGAGTTCAAAGGTCCAGAGGAACTTTTCTCCCCCTTGAGCAGGCTCTGGGTTCTAGTCACACGATGGGCTATTTGCCTGAGGGCGAGCCCTGCTTTGCCCTAAGCCTCTTGACTGTCCCTCCTCCAAGTTACCCTGGGGCCTGGGGTTCTAATAACTCCTCCCCTTGAGTGTCTTTCCTGTCCCTCCCTCTCCTCAGGATGATCTACCTTCTTTCTCTTCCACCAAAATCAGGTAGAATTTGACTTCTACCAGGGGCTGCACTGCCAATCCAAAGGCATGGTGTTCTCAGTTCAAATCCCCCAGCTTCTCCACAACAGAAAGATGCTTACACTGCTCCCATGCAAGGTACTGCCTCTCAAAACCTGCTTGGGTGTCCAGCTATGGGTTGGTTCTGAAAATCAATTAATGAAAGAACTGGAAACAGAGTCTGTGGCTTCTCACTCATCACACATCTGAGAGGATACTACTCCTAGAATATCCAAGAAAGACTCAAAAAGATCCCAAGAACTCCCTCAGGGACTGGGGCACAGATTTGACATGTCACACTGCTATTAAGTTTCCTTACCTAGAAATGGTTCGTTGTGGTCCATAACAACAACAATAATAAAAATGGTAGCAAACATAAATCCCCTAAACAGAAAAGCAAACACTTGCTATTTCCCCAAACAAGTCATTGATTTAAGTTCTTTCCATGATGGAAATTACCAACTCCCTGTCCCCACCAGACCCCCTTTCGCTTACTTGATCCAGACAGCTTTGTTCTTTGGAGGAAGATGGGTCAGGCAGGGACTCTGTGGCCAAGGCTCCCTCCACGATGTTTGAGCTCCAGTGGTTTCTCCAGTAGGGGCCCCATCCTTGCTCAAGGTTTTATTGGCTCCCTTCAGTCAGCTCCAGGGGCACCAACAACTGTAGTTATCGACTCTTTTCTTAAACTGAAGGCCCCAAAGTGAACAGCACAACCCTTATCCCACTGACTCAACTGTCCCCAGGGGCTGGACCCTGCCTGTCTACTCTTGCCATCCACCTGGAGCCAAGTTTTTAGTCCCTGATTTAACTCTGTTATCAAAAAATTCATTGCCATCGAGTTGGAACCGACTCATAGGTGATTTTCCAGTGGATTTTCCAAGGCTATAAATTGCATAGGAGATTGCCCATCTTTCTCCCAAGGAGCAGTTGATGGATTAGAACCACAAGAGATGTGGGTTAGCAGTGCAACTCCCTATAGATTATGCTACCAGAGCTCGCCAACCTTGTCATCAAGGCCTCCCAAATTTCAGCTGTGGCTACTCCCAGCTTCCCATAGCCAGCCTAAGGACCAAAGGCGAGGTCTGGACAGGTGCCCAAAGACATGTCTGATAACAGAGATAGAGGCCGGAGAATGTCCAGAAGCAGGCAGGACATCAGAAGGCCTTCCTGTTCACCTCCTCGGCTTACAGATAAGAAAACCAAAGTGCAGGCAGATCAAGGGATTTTTCCAAAAGTCACTCTGAGAATCAATTAATGAATGAGAGAGCTGGAAGCAGGCTGCGCCTCCTCACTCACCACATGTCTAAGAGGATGCTACTTCCAGAACCTCCGAAAAAGACCCAAAAGGACCCCAGGAACCTCCCAGGTGCTGGAGCACAGATTTGACACCACCTCTACTGGAGGTCTCAATTTCCTTTTCTAGAAAAGGGATGATGGAGGGATGTTTTGCTCTGTCCCTCTGACATCATGTGAGGGTTCTGTGACTCTCTCTCTCTCTTGCAATCAGCATCTGATTCCCAGAGAGAGGACCTATGTACTGGGGGTCATGTGAAGCCTGAGGATCTCCACTGGGACGGCGTGTGTGTGTGTGTGTGTGTGTGTGTGTGTGTGTGTGTGTGTGTCTGCGTGTTCATGCCCTGGGCTGCTGAGCCGAGTCTCCCATCTCCGTCCACTGTTCACTGTTCACCCTCTGTGTGAAGGTTATTGATTATCGCCATCGCCATACACCCTGCTGGCCTCCCAAGGGTGACAGTGTCCTCACCAGCACTGGGGCTGACTCCTCCAGCTCTGTGAGGCTCCAGTCGGCCTGCTCCAGGTTCTGACCCTCCACTTGGCACTGCAGCAGCACGCTGTCCCCCACGTCCACTGAGGCATTGGGCATGCGGACCTTCAGCCTGGGCACATCTGGCCTCCGAGGATGCCAAGGGGTATTAGAGTTGAAAGTGGCTTCCAGAACCCTTGTTCCTGGAAATGTCCTTTTGCCCACCCCCATTACTGACCTGAGTCCAGTCAATGCCCACCCACCTCCACACCCACACCCCAATCCTCAGCTTCCTCTGCTGCTGTTGAACCCACTTCAACCCACAGCGACCACAAGAACAGGGCAGAAAGAACTTCCCCATAGAGTTTCCAAGGCTGTAATGGTTGCAGAATCAGACTGCCACATCTTTCTTCCATGGAACAGTGGATGGGTTCAAACTCTAACCTTTCCGTTCAAGAGTTAACCACTGCACCGTCAGGATTTCTGTAAGCTTCCCCAGCCTTATTTCGCAGTTCCCCACAGAGTTTTTCTCTCAAGCTCTGCTTAGTGCCCACCAACTCCAGGAAACGCCCACTCCCCAAATAGCAAGCAGCCCACCTTCCTCTCCCCCCAACACCTACCGCAGCTGGCGTTGGACAGAAGGGCGATAGGCTTCTGCCCGGAACACTGCAGCTTCTGGTCGGCAACTGCGCCCAGCCCCTCTTCCTCCCAACGCTGCAGCCAGCTCAGAGCGCAGGAACAGTTCAGGGGGTTCCCCGACAGGATCCTGGTGGGTGCGGGCACACGGAAAGAGTCAGGGAAGGGGTAGGTGTTGGGGGAGCCACAGAGAATATGTTAGACTACAGTGAGGGATACCTAGAGGAGAAGGAGTGAGGACCGGGATGAAATCCCTCTCCTGGACCCCAGAAATGAGACGTTATTTAAAAAAAAAAAAAACAAAACCAAACGAAAACAGCACACAGTGGGCTACAAAGAGGAATGGAGCTCGGATACATGCTACAGCATGGATGAACCTTAAAAAACAATGTGCTGAGTGAAACAAGTCAGTCACAAAGGGATGAATGCATAATCCCACCTACATGAACTAGGCAAATGTATAGAGATCCAGGGGGTGAGGGAGGGCTCTGTGTTCCTGTTCAGGGCAGTGAAACAATTTAGAAGAGAGTGTCAGCACAACATGATGAACATAATCTGTGCCACTAACTGCATATGGAAAATGTGTTGAATTGGCAAATATTTTTGTTGTATATATTTCTATTAAAAAGGAAAGAAACAGAGCAGGAGGAAAAAAACCCTCCACAGCTGGCTGTGGGCTGCATGGAATTCCCTTCCCCAGGCTCCCCAGGGTAACACACCAGGTGAGAGCTTTGCGTGTGGAGAGGAGGAAGAATCACAGCCTTCAGGAGTGACTGAGAGGCTGTACGTGCCCATCAGGTATACATGAACCACTGCTCCGATCACATGAACATGGGCGATGTCCCCAAGTAGACATGCAAGGGTCCTGTGGTCACTCAGCACAGACTCAGAATGGTGCCTGCCTCCATGTACACAGAACCCATCCCAGCCACCCTCCATGAGTGGTCCCATAGCCTCTGCTTTGATGGAAGGTTTGCAGTACACAGGGTCTCAGCTCAGGGTCAAACACATAGTCCCCAGAGAAACGGTTCCCACCCACCCAGTTCCATGGCAGTAACATGCCTCCATACAGAGACAAGTGTATGTCACACACATACACACACACACACACACACACACACACACACACACACACACTCACTCACTCGCAGGCTGATGTTACCCCTGAAAGCCATTACACTCACAGTTCCTGTAATGAGAGGCCTTGGACAGTTTTCCAAGAGAGAGACTCCAGAGCATTAAAGGAGAGATTCCTGCGGGATGGAGACAGAGACCCCCATGAGCAACCTGACCTTGCTGTGACCCAGCATGAGAGAGGGGAGGAGCAGGGGAGGAAGTTGACATCTGGCCTCCTCTTCCCAACTTTGGAAACTAGAACAAGCCCAGGGAGACAAGGGGAAGAGGGGGAGGTCAGACCCCTCCCTGGGACAACAAGGGTTAACCCCACTTAACCCCCTCTCTAGACCCCAGGGAGGCGGAGCTGAGGGAACAACCACTCCCCTCCCCTCCTCCACCCCTTTGGCCCCAGCTGGCAAAGTGCTGAGGCCACAGCTGGGGGAGGGGACTCCATCTGTGCTCCCCTCTCCAAGAGCCCAGGATGGAGCCAGAGGAGGTGGGGGAGGACTGAGGCTCCCACACTCCCTTGCCCCCTATCCGACAGATGACAAGGATCCCAAAGTACTTCCTCAGGTCTTACCCCTGCCTTCTTCTTCCGGTCCCTCCCCAGGGACTAAGGGAAGGGAAGGGTAAGGACCTCAAGCCGCTCAGCCAAGTCCACTACTGCAGAGATGGGGAAGGTGAGCCCCACCGAGGCCTTGGATCCAGAAGCTGGTTTAGGAGCCACAACTGGCCCCCGAATTCTGTGCTCTGTGTCAAGCCATGGCTCCTGGAACTTTCTGCCTCTGGAAGCCTGCTCTGATCTGTCTCCATGACCAGCCATCATTGAAGTTGAAGACACACCAGAAAGAACTTTTACTTTGTAGCCAAACAGCTGGATATGAGTTCTGTCCTGTCACAGCTGTGTGACTTCAGCTCAGGGACTGAATCTCTGGTTCTCAGAATCTTCATCTACAGAGTGGACTGACACCCTGCCTCTCATCAATCGGGAGAATCCAATAGCAATTGTTCTTTTTATAATTAATGAGCCGCTAGGGTCGCTATGAATTACAGACGACTCGACTCCACAACTCCATGGTATGTAACAACAACAACATAATTAATCCTGACATAATAAGGATTGCAAAGTGTCACTTAACACAACTCTGTGAATGACAAGCCCCTGTCACCTTTCCGTCTATCCACTTGTCCATAGCAGGGAGATACCAAGCTCCTGTCCTTGGAAGACTAGAGGGTGCAGCTAGACTCTACTTTGGGACTTTCTCCCTTCCACCCCATGCATCTGTCCTCTACAGAAGAGGTAACTGTGACTTCCAGGAATGAGGAGGGTAAGGAATGGTAAACATGACACCCCAGTTCCAAGCAACCCTAGGGGCTTGGTAGATGTTTCTCCACCAGGGAAGGTGATGGAACTCTAGCCAGAACCAGCAGTCCTGCTTTTGCCCCTTGATCCCATTTGGACTGGTATGTATCAGAACTCAGGGAGAAAGGATGGGACAGGCACCTATAAGAAGTGTCCCTCCCTATAGCATGAAGGATGGAAGCAAGATGGCTAGAAGGACTTTCTAGCTGGCAGAAGTGGGAGCTGGAATAATGTCATCCCTGGAGTAGATGAGATAGCAGGAGCCCCAGGAGAATGTGTGAGTCGCCTTCCCTGGTCAGGCTGAAGTCATCCTCAGACCAGCTCCCTGAGGAGGTCCAAGCCCATCAATGCCCCAAGTGTGGGTATCCTCCCAGCCCCCCACCCAGCCCTGCCCACTCACAGGCGGCTGAGGCGAGGAGTGAAATGGAAGGCATCCGGCGCCACGAAATGGAGACCACTCTTCACGATGGTGCTGGCGGTGGGCACAAGAGGCTCAGCTCCCAGGATCCCAGCAGCACCGGTCGCCCTGGCCTCTCTGCCCATCCCAGTCCTCCAGTCCCAGTGCTGGGCCCCATACCCCTGCTCCTCACACCCTCACAGTTTTCTCAGCTGCCCCCCACCCCTCGGACTCCTGCGCTTCTCTGACTACCCCCCATGCCCCCTCAGCCTTCAGCCTCCCAGGCCCCTCATCCCATTAAGTCCTTTCAAATCCTGCAGTATTGAACCCCCCACATCTACACATCCCCAGCACCCTCACAGATTTCTCAGCTCCCCCAGGCCCCTCAGGTCATTGAACTCCAGTCGTTGCAGATGCTGCTGGTTCTCGATGTAGCTGCGGGGAGAGGGCATGGGAGTTACAAAGATCCAGACCCTCCACATGCCTTCCTCACTGTCATACGTGCATACCCACACACAGGTACATCCACCCAGCTATATTCAGATTGCTCATAGATAATGTATGTAACGCTATGTATATTGACACTCACGCACATACATGCACAACCATGAATGCTCTCACACAGACACATGTGTACATTCACATGCACAGACGTACACACATGCACAGACATACCCTCCTTCACATACACACATACGTATGCATGAACACTCATGCCCGTGCACACACATACGTATATAATTACACACACACAGATGCAAACAACTCTCTCTTGCATGCTTAGATATCTAAGTGCACATTTATCTGCTTAGACACACACAGACACACAGATTGATTCTCAGCGTGGTGCTCTGCTTGGACACACAGAACCTTTCCTGCCCAGGCTCAACCCTAGGGGGTCATCTGAAACACTTGCCTTCACAAAGGCCCCAGGCTCCTTATTGCCATCGCCACTGCCCCACCCAGCTCGGAGGAAGCCCTGTGGTCATGCAAACATGTGCTCCCAATGCCCCAGAGCTGCCATCAGAGCTCACCCAAAAGCCACTGGGCCCTCCCCAAAACGGGCAGTCTCAATCTCCCACCTCTGGCTTTTCAGCAAAGCAAATGAGAGGCATAGAGGCTGCCAATTAGAGACCCCTTAACTATTTCCTGCCCCATTTGGGATCCAAAATACACAAGGAAGAAGAGGCGAGTGCTGTGATAGGATGGAGTTGGAGGGTGTGTGTGTGTGTGTGTGTGTGTGTGTGTGTGTGTGTGTGTGTGTTAGGGGTGGAGAGACTATCACTAACTGGCTAATTTACAGCAAGAAAGAGATGGGAAGGCACAATGCGGGGGTGGGGGGGAGTAGACAAGAGACTGGCAGGGAGAGAGAGACAGGCAAGGAGAGGGGAAAACCGATAAGGAAAGGGAAACAGAGAGACAGCTAGATAAGGCCAGAGAGCCAGAGAATGCAAGATAGTGAAAAAAGTAGGAGCAGGTATGTGAGGATGGGGGTGGCTGAGGCTCTGGGCCCTGCCCAGCCTCTGGCTTGGCTTGTCAGAGAGTTCCTGAGAAATTGAGCTGCCCTGCAATGGCACGCAGAGGTACCCCCCCCCCTCCACATACACAAGCCTGACTCATGGCTGAGCCTGTACTCATAATCCTCCCCTCCACCCAGTTCCTTCCCCTAACTTAGGGAGACTCAGGAGCAGCCTGACTGACCTTTCTCTTCCTCCCCACTTCCTAACATTGGTACCAACAGGCCAGCCAGAAATCAGGTTCTCAGTCCCCAGGGAGCCATGGAGTAACCTCTAGGTAATCCCGAGGGAGAGCGGGTTCCCACCTTGCCCCCAATCTTAGAGTGAATTTAGAGGTTTAGGGGCTCGGGGAGGGGTGAGAATGCTGTGGTCAGGCGTGTGCAAGCTGTCAGGCAGTGTGCTCAAAGCTGCCCCATTCGTTTGAATTAATAATCTGTCTATTTGAGTCCATTATCCCCTCGTTAGCTCTGCGGGTGAGAGCAGAGGGAGGGGACCCAGCAGACTGAGGTAGAGGGTCCTGCTGCTGCCCCACCCAAGGGGACATCTCAGCTCACCATCCTGAATGCTTCCCAGTCCCCAGTCCTCTTTATCTACTCCTCCATCATCATTATCACCCACCCTTACCCCCGCAGAGCCCACTTGGGACTTGGAAGGGAACTGGGAATTGGAAGTCCTGATGGGGAGCATTCAGGAGCCTTGGCCTCAGTTTGAAGGTCCAGGGTGATGAGTGAACTGGACAGAGGTGTCAGCCTGCATCCCATGTCCCCTCCCACAATGCAGAGACCTAGGTCCAGACTCATTTGAGGCCATCTCCTCTTTTCCTAGTCTCCCTAGGGCCATTAGAGAGAGATATTGAGTACCTTCCCGTTAATTACTGCAAGATACCCGAGTAACTCAGTGCCAATTATTGCAGGCTACTCAAGTAACTTCCAGACAGCCATGGTCCCTGCTCGGGTGCCTTCCAGTCCATCACTGCATGAGGTCAGGCTTCCTTGCCCAGCCTCTAAGCTAAGGCCTCAAGCGGAGGGCTTTCCAGCATTCCTCTCCTCTTTTGGAGATCCTCTTGGCCAGGCACACAGAACACTCAAGTACTTCCCAGTCATCACCATGTAATACTTGAATACCTCTAGGCTCATTACAGACTACTCCCATAGGTTTCACCAGCTGCTAAAAAGTACTTGAGCATTTTGGAACCAATTACTGCAGGATGTTGGAGTACTGCAGAATGCTGGTGATTCTTCCCAGACTTGAACCCCTGAAGTGAGGAGGTTGGTTCTCTCAGAAAGGGCCTGAACTCAAACGGAAAGACAGGGATAGAAAGGAGCTAGGAATGGAAAAAAGGCAAGTCGGCAGGGTGTCCCATTTCCCAAATCTAAATTCAGAGTTCCTAATAAGGGTTCTGAGGAGACCAGGTGGTCTGGAAATGGGGAAGGGAGAACTCAACACTTCCCCGTGGTTATTTATTATCTCCACCAGTTCCAGGTCACTTCTCTGTTCCAGAGGAGGAGCTGGCATTGCCTGGCATGACAGGGAAGGAGACAGACAGAAGAAAGGGTAGTAAAAGTGCCTAACTGACTCCTGTACTGCGGACCACCCCCTTCTACGGGATAGAACGTGGGCTCCTGACTGAAGACCAAAAAGCGGTTTCCAGACCGCTGGGCTCCAATGTGCAAAGTTCCCTCCTTCTCCGAAGCTCATACCCTATCTGCCCTGAGCCCCCGACCTAGCGGCGTTCGGTAGTGACTATGGAGCCTGAGGGGAGGGGGCAATAACAGCAGCGGAGGAACTCAGGGTTATACCAAGAACTATGCAGTGACAGCCTCCAGCCGCACCCTCTCCACCTGGCCCAGCAAGCAGGCATCGTGTCCGCGCCCTCGGAGCGGAGGGACGCCTGAGTGCCCCCCGCGCCCCTGGGACACTCACAGCTCCGTCAGGTTCTCGATGCCCGGCAAAGACAGGAGGCTCTTCAGGGCTCCAGCCCGGGTGCAGCGCAGCCCAGAGGGGCCATGGGGACAGCAGGCTTCGGGACACGACGCAGCGCCCGCGGATGCTAGCATCAGCCACGCCAGCAGGCTGCCAGGCCCGGTGGCCCGGCCGTACTGGCCGAGCTGCCCGCACCGTCTGCCTCGCAGCATCGCGGCGCCGCCCGCCTCGCCCGGGCCCGGCAGCCGTCTGTGCGCTCCCAGCTGCCGCTGCCGGGCCTCTCCCGACATGTGCACGGGGCGGTGTTAAAGACCAAGCCGGCGCTGAGGGGCGGGGCCAGCGACTCGGCCCGCCCCCACGGCTTATGCCCCGCCCCCCTCTTCCCGGACCCCCAACTCAGCCCCTTCCAATTCCTAGGCCCCCAGCGCCCGACTTCTCCCTCAGCATCTCTCCTAGCTCCCTCCCGGAGACATCTCCTGAGAATAGGAGAACCAGGAAGTTAATACTTTATTCTTGCAACCTAAAGCAGCTGCATTTTCAAATTTGGAAAGGATGGAGAGGAGATGACTGAGCTAGAGAAAGACTGTGGCCCCGGTCAAATCTACTCAGACCTTGGACCTCAGAGCTCCCTCAGGGCGTGAGAGCTGGAGGGAGCGTTCATGTCATTTGGGGAGTAAATTAGGTACAATAGATAAATTATAATAAATTAGGTACTCTCTGAGCCCTAGAGATACAGGGTCTATGATAGGAAAACAGAAGCTGCAGAGAAAGAGGGAGTGGCCCCTTAAAAAGCCAAAGAAGAAAGAATGGAAACAGAGACCCCACCCTTCCAGGAGAGACCACAGGGTGGCGCCAGAGGCCGGTGTGCAAAGATGTGCGCTTTAAGCAAGGTGGAGTAGGGGGGTGCTATGCAAAGGCCCAGTCGTGTTCCAGGGTCAGCTTCTGACCCCGGCCTCCCAACGCTGGACCCTAGACTGGGCAGGACTAGGTCGAGCAGAACTAGGCATCGATCGCCAACCTGACAAGAGCATCGATTTCTGCGCGGGAAAATTAATAGATCTTCTCTTAGCTTCTCAGACGCGGGTGCCTCCCGCTGATAGAGCTGAGGACTCGTGGACCCTTGTAAGGCTGTGCGCGGAAAGCCCGGGGATCCCCAGCGTCCCGGGTATCAGAAGATAGATCCTGGCCCCTCACACCCCGCAGGCCTTAGCGGCTGCAAGAACCCCCTCGGTCTCAAGAGGGAGTGGGAGACAGGCTCTGGAGGAAGGACTCTTGGCGGTTGGGGATAGTGAGGCACCCCAGCGAGCTGGAGGAGAGAGTCCACTGAGAAACCCAAAGTTCTCCTCTCTGCTGGGGCCACAGAACGAACTGTAACCCAAGTCTCTGGGACAGGGACTGACAGACCAACGGAGCAACGCGAGTTTAGAAAGACGGCTGGGTAGAGACACAGCGCCCTCACTCGGTGATTGTCCTCCCTCGTGGATCTTGGCCAGAACCAGGACCTTGACCTGGACCAAGCCTCGTACTAAGGCTCCGAAGTGCTGAGAAGGGATTCGAGGGTCTCAGGACTTGAGTGTTGAGAAGGCAGCATTTTATGCTCCTGTTCCGTAAGTTGGACTTGAAAAATGGAGAAGTTACGCCGCAGATGTCAGAACACCGTGTAGCCGAATCCTGAGCAGCCTATTTCTAAGGGACGGGACGGACTCGCTCTCTCGCTGTCCCTGCCTGCGTGCAGCCGTATCTGACAGATTCCCGAGAAGGAAAAAAGGGGGAGTTCACTTCTTGATCTAGGCTCCCCGCACCCACCCACCTCCACCTGTACCTTGCCTATATTTCCCCAACAGACTCGTCCTTTTTCTCCGCTCAGTTGTGAGGCTAAATATTTTGGTTTGGCCAGGTGGGAGGGGCGGAGAGAGGATCCGCTAAGGCCCCGCTTGCTGGAGGGCTGGGGGCGGGTTTAGCGGGAGCTTTGCGCAGCCCCTAGATGCGGGCCGGAGGAGGGAGCGCTGAGAGTCCGCGCTCCCGGGCCCAGCGCATTCCGGGGCGCCCGGGGATACTACCCCAAATCTCGCTGGGCCTACACGCCAGGATCCTACAACTTCCCTCCGGCCCTTGCTCCCTCTTCCGGGCATCTGGTCCCCTCGGAGCTGACTGATCTCCTGGTCTGCTTCTTGATCTGAAAGGCTCTTTCTACCCTACCCCGCCTGAGTCCTGAGTTATTTTCCTGTCACTATCTGTCTGCATCTCTGTCCGCTTCTCTAGATTCACACTGGGAGTGTCTCTGGAATCCAGTCACTGTCTTTGTGCCTGTCTTCCCCCCCCCCCCCCACCCCCCCACCCCCACCTCAGTGTGGATTTCCTTGTCTCTGCCCCTGCATTCCTGTCCTCTGTCCTTGAGAATTGTCCCTTAGGGCCTGGCAGACTCATCTCACTGGACCACCTCCTGGAGGACTAGCAAGGACTAGGCACAAGCCACGACTAGGGCAATGGCAGTACCTAGCCTGTGGCCTTGGATAGCATGCCTGCTTGTGATCCTCTTCTCCTTGGGATTCAGCCTGGACACACTAAAGGGTGAGTCCCCAACACTATCTCCACAACCTTGTTCTCCCTCCCAGACAGGTGGGACGTTACACAATGGAGCTTCTAGCCAGAATACATCTACTTACTTACTCTACTGTACATCATGAAGACTGGGGTTAGCTCTCAGAAGGACTTGCTGTCCAGAAAAGCAATTAATCCTCTCACAAAAGGTGTTCTTTTTTCCAGCTCCTTCTTTTGAGAAGAACCTCAGAGAAAGGGCAGGAATAGAAGTCCTCCAGTACCACTTATGAGACTATGATCCTAGTAAAGCCTAGAGGGAGGCTGGGAGATTCTTAGAAGTCATCCTGGAGCCTCAGAATGGGGGGGGGGGTCTAGTAGCTGAGAATAAGTAATTGGACTTGATGCAGACAAGGAAACACAAGGAAACGGAGGCCCAGGGAACTGAAGGATAAAGTTAGATTGTGTCCTGCACCCTTGTTTCTAGGGCACTGGACCAAGGCACCTATCTCCAGTACTCACCCACTTGGAGGCTGATGTTGAGGGAGAATTACTTTCTGTCAATGCCCTAGAACCTGTTCCCTAGGTTTTTAGAGAGATACTTGCTATGTATTTAGAGAGACATGGTAGAAATGTGTTGGCTCAATGTCTCTCTGGGGGTGTTGGGGGTGGGGGAAAGAATAGAAAAAGACTGGAAAGAAGATTCAAAAAGGGAAAGGCTAAGAGATAACACCCTGCTCAACCCCACCTTCTCCCCCAACCTGAGAGTTCTGTAATCCAGTGCCCTAAGGAGGCTTCCACCAAGATGTTCAGTCTCTGCCCTAGAGGTCTCATGATTCCCTGAGGGCTGGGGGCAGCCAGGGAGCAGGGCAGAATCTCCCTTTCCTCCACAGACAGAAGAATACCAATCTGGTGATAGAGGGGGTCTCTTGAAGAGTACCAGCAACAAGAAGCTCTGCCTGAGAGGCACACCCCCCCCTCCCCCCGAACTCCCTTCTCCCTTCTCCACTTGTGCCAGAACACTGGCAAATACCAGCTGGGAGTGTGGTTGCCAGGACAGAAGCACGTCCCTGAGGGTGGGGAGTTTGATCAGGGGACCCAGATGTCCTATTCCCAGGACCTTCTGCTCTGAACAAAGTCATATCCTGAGGGGAGGTAAGGGTTAATCTGTGAAGGTCTTGGATTTGTTTTTCCAAATGACTCCCATCAGGGGAGCCCTTGAGAGGCAAAGGAATGATGGGAAGTGTGGGCTCCTGAAAGAACCCCTATCTGCCTTGAAAAGCCTGATTGGCTCTCACCAGGAAGAGATAGAAGTGTTTTCCCATTCTCATTCTCTCCCCCTCGCCTACTTTTTTTATGTGTGTACCTGATTGCTTGCACAACTACACACACATATACAACACAAACATGCACACTCACACAGCTGCTGGGCAGGGCTATTAATGGTAAAAAGGCGAAGGTACGAAGTAAGCCCCAGGGATGTAGCCTTGCCAGCTCCCCTCCTTCTGTGCACATTTAACTAGACTTGGGGGATGGGCCTGGGAACCTGTCCTGTGTGTGACACTGTTACAGGGTAGGTAAGGAGAAAGGGAGGAGACTGAGAGGTGAGCGGGACTTGAATTCAGATTTGAGGTGTAGACCATGTGGAGTCCTGGAAAGTCACTGCTGGATCAAGTGAATGCAGGCACCAGGATCTATTACCCTTAGGAAAATGGCATTAGGTGCCTTAGGGAGAAGGGAGAGAAAGTGGCTGGGCTCTGGATTGGAAGGAGTTAGGATCCCCAGGGAAGAAATAAGTTAGGGACTCAGACACCAATTGATCCAATCCATGGCTCCTGAGTGTCCAGTGGTTCTAGCCCTGGATGGGGCACCATGGAGGAATACAGGGGTGACTAACAAGAACCTCACCCGTCCTCAGGAGTCTCCCTCTCTGGAGAAGGTGACAGAGATAGAGAAACAATGCTGGGTCCCCATTGAACTAAATGTGCCCCGCCTGAAGGGGGAATGATTAACTTGGAAGCAGGATGTCAAGGGTGGGGGGACCGGGGGCGCAGCTTGCATAATAAGGGCTATTAGAGGCCCTTCTGATGCTGGGGAAGTTGGTGGGAATCAATTTATCAAGACTCTGGAACACCAGGCTGAGGAATTTACACTTAATTCTTTGGTGCTGGGATTTAGACAAGGCATCTAGCCTTCTTTTTTTAAAATTTTTATTATTTTGTGTACGTGTACCGTCAAATTAGATCTGACTGGTACAGGAGGATATTGCTCCTTCTCCGGCAGAGCATCTGGTGGATTCAAACTGTGTACATCTGGGATTGCAGTGCAGCTTCTTGCCACTAGGCCACCAGAGGTCCCCTAACATCTAACCCTCTTAAGACTGGGCAGAAGTGGAAGGTCTGAAGTTCAGACTACTGCTTCCCAGTGACAGAATCAATTCCCTCTCCAAATATTTACTGAGGGCCAATTTTATGCCAGGCATTATGCTAGGCCAGGCATTATGCTAGGTACTTCTTGTTGTTTGCCATTGAGTTGGAACTGACCCACAGCTGGCCCTCCTGTAGGTTTTTAGAGACAGTAAAGCACACAGGAAGAGACTGCCCATCGTTCTCCCAAGGAACAGCTGGTGGACTTGAACTGTGTGCCTTTGCACTGGCAGTGCAAGTCCTTACCACTAAGCCATCAGAGGCTTACATACGAGGTACTAAGGAAATAATAGAGAATTATACAAAGATTCGATTCTTGATTTTACAGAACTTACTATTAACAAAGTAAAGAATGT